GATTTTTGTATGTTGATTTTGTATCCTGCAACTTCACTGAATAAATTCATCCTAATTTTTTTGGTGGAGTCTTTAGGGTTTTCTCTACTGCAGAGACAATTTAACTTCTTCCTTTACAATTTGGATGCCTTTATTTCTTTTTGCTGTTTAATTGCTCTGGCAAGGACTTCTAGTACCATGTTTAGTAGAAGTGGTGAGAGTAAGCCTTTTCTTGTTTCTGATCCTAGAGGAAAAGCTTTCAACTTTTCACTGCTGAGTATATTATCTGTGGGCTTGTTGATATATGGCCTTTATTGTATTGAGGTACATTCCTTTTATACCCAATTTGTTGAAAGTTTTTATCATGAAAGGATATTGAATTTTGTCAAATGCCTTTTTTGTGTCTGAGATGATCATACGGTTTTGTTTTCCCATTGGCTGCGTTGAACCATGCTTGCATTCCAGGGATAAATCCCATTTGATCACGGTGAATGCTCCGTTTCATGTGCTGTTAAATTCAGTTTGCTAATACTTTGTTGAGGATTTTTTGCATCTGTGTTCATCAGAGATGTTGGCCTGCAGTTTTCTTTTCTCATAGTGTCCTTGTCTGGCTTTTGTATTGGGGTAATGCTGGCCTTCTAAAATACATTTGGAAGTATTCTCTTCTCTTCTGTTTATTGGTAGAGTTTAAGAAGTATTGGTGTTGGTTCTTTAAATGTTTGGTAGAATTCAACAGTGAAAACATCAGGTCCAGAGCTTTTCTTTGATGTGAGATTTTTTATCCCTGATTCAGTCTCCTTACTTGTTATTGGTCTGTTCAGATTTTCTATTTCTTTATGATTCAGTCTCAGTAGGTTGTGTGTTTTTTGGAATTTATTCATTCTAGGTTATCCAATTTGTTGACATAATAATTGTCCACAGTAGTCTCTTGGAATCCATTGTATTTCAGGTATTAGTTGTAATGTTTCCTCTTTTGTTTCTGATTTTATTTGTCTCAGTCTAGTTAAAGGTTTTTCAGTTTTGTTTATCTTTTCAGAAAACCAACTTCTAGTTTTGTTGAACTTTTCTATTTTTCTATTCTTCGTTTTATTTATTTTTGATCTTTGTGATTTGCTTCTTTCTACTAACTTTGGACTTAATTTCTTCTTTTTTCTACCTGAGGTATAATGTTACATTATTTATTTGAGATCTTTATTCTTTATTTATCACTATAAACTTCCCTCTTATAACTACTTTCGCTGCATCCTATTGGTTTTGGTATNGTAAAGTCTTTAATAGGTGTAAGGTACTATTTCATTGAGGTTTTAATTTGCATTTCCCTGACGATTAGTGATGTTGAACATTTTTTCATATACCTGTTGATCATTTCTATGTCTTTTGAGAAATGTCTGTTCAGGTTCATTGCCCATTTTTTAATCGGATTATTTGTATTATTGCTATAGAATTGTTTGAGTTCGCTATATATTTTGGATATTACCCCTTATCAGATCTGTGATTTGCAAATATTTTCTCCCAATCGTTAGATTTTCTCTTCACTCTGTTAATTGATTCCTTTGTTGTGTGGAAGCTTTTTATTTTGATGCAGTTCCATTGGTCTATTTTTGCTTTTATTGCCTATGCTTTTGGAGTCATGTCAAAAAAAATCATTGCCAAGAAGCTTCTTCCCTGTTTTCATATAGTATTTTTACAGTTTCAGGTCTTACATTTAAGTTTTTAATACATTTTGAGTTGATCTTTAGATAAGGGTCCAGTTTCATTCTTCTATATAGATATCCATTTTTCCCATCACCATTTATTGCAGATTGTCCTTTTCCCATTATTTGTTCTTGGTATCTTTGTGGAAGGTCAGTTGATCTTAAATGCCTGGATTTATTCTCTATTCTGTTCCATTATTTAATGTGTCTGCTTTTATCCCATTACCATGCTGTTTTGATTACTATCTTTCTGTATTGTATTTTGAGATCTGGGAGTGTGATGCCTCTAGCTTTGATCTTTTTGCTCTATATTGCTTTGGTTATTTGGGGTCTTTTGTCACTCAATAGGAATTTTAGGATTGTTTTTTCTATTTCTGCGAAAAATGACATTGAAATTTTGATAGAGATTGTATTGTATATGTAGATTGCTCTGGGTAATAAAGGCATTTTATCAATATTAATTATTCCAGTCCTTGAACATGGAATATCTTTCC